GTTCATCTTTCTCATCCAACAAAGTAAGAAGTTTCAGCACAAGCAAGTTATCAGACTCTTATCAATCAAATTCATGCCACTCACTTTCCATATTACAATGGTACCGAAAACCCATAAAAGGAAACAAAAAAGCAAATGTCAACTAAGCTAAGCCTTTTGACAATCATCAATTATCAGAAATGTACAGCAATCAAGAATAATCTACCGTTATAATTATGATATGTAGAAACTTCACCGACATTACAAAAATTTAAAGAGTGTTCTAAACTTATAATACGAACAATTAAACTAAGCAGACTAAAAAATGAACAATTAACAGGAGTCCTCCTATATAATAACAAGATTAAGCTTTGAAATTAAGCTGCAAAGGGCAATAAAGTTAAACCAAACTAACTACAAAACTGAGAATAAAACGAACCGAAATTGAGATTAAAACTTAATGAAAGAAGAAACTTTGTTAAACCTGAATTAACCAGCTAATTTTCATGCCCTAAAGCTTACATTAATCAACGGAGTAACAAAAACCCAATAAAGGAAACAATGTGTAGAACCAAAAGAAATTTAAAAACAAACCAACAAACAAACGAAAGATCCCGCTTGAAATCTCAGAAACCAGATCTAACCCAATTTCTCAAAACCCAAACAGCATCAAACTAAAAACTTTAATAAAAACATGGTTAAAGATCACTTCTTTTAAGGAAAAATCATGACCCATCAAATCTGGGTGGATTTAGAAGGCCAAAAATTGGTTCAATTAAGCAAGAAAAAAAAAAGGGGAAATGGAGCAAGTGAGGAAGTATGGCACCTTTTCGAGGATCCCCAGGTTGAAAATTGGGGAATCACCTGAGAAAAGAGTGAGCTCTGAAGGAATTTTAGACCTTTTTCTTTTGGTTACATGAGAGAGTGTAGGGAGTTGTTTCTTCTGTTTTCTGTTTTTCTATGGGGTGGCAGTGACTATTTCATTTTTGTTATTTCCGAAATGGGAAATCGATCTCAACTTGCTTCGCGTTTCCCAAGAGGAGAAAAAGCTTTCTTCCCGTGCTCTCTTAAATCTCATCGCCTGTGTATTTTATTTTAATTTTACGTTAATTTTTTTTCTAAATATTTTAATATTATATGATATTTAATTATAAATCTTTTAATTTATACCAAAAACTTCATAAAAGCAACACTCTAACTTATCTTAAACTTCCATATAATTTTACTTATCTTAAAATAAATGCAATTTTATCCCTGTACTTTTTTAATATAGTATAAAAATATCAAAATTAATGGTGAAAGAATATTTTAATTTTTAACCATTTTTTAACTAAATTAGAAAATATACTAATAAAATTACGTCATTTCAAATAAAAATTGTAAATTTGTTCCATCGTTTTAAATAAAATGATAAATTTGACTCATATACCTTATTTTCTTTTCTTTATATTTTTTAGTAAATAGAAAAAAAAAGATTAACCGGATTATGAATTATAAACTTCAATATAAGTATCAACAAAACAACATAAAAATGCTTTCCAAATTAGTAGTATATTATAAATAAATTGAGTACGTAGCTGAAATAATTGATTATATGGAGTTAAATAAAGATTTTCCTTTGCTTGGGAAAAAAAATAAGCACATTTTTATTTTTGTAATTATATTTTTCATTATCTATGGTCGGAAAATATCAAGACAAGTTACGGGGTTAAATTGAGACCCAAGAGCACTTATATGAAAGTGTATAATTTTACCAATTGAGTCAACATGTTGACTTAATTGCATTCTCTAGTTGAGTCATAAGATATTGGGATGGCTTAATTGCATTCTCTTTAGACTTGGTGATATCGATGTTCAACATCTTCAGTGCTTCCATGGCTTGCATGGACAAAGTCAAATATAATTGCAATAAAATGAGCTTGACTTATCCTTTGCACATACATATGAAGGTACCCATCATGTGTTTTTGTAAGAGGTGTAAGTTCTGTTCCATGTCCAAGTTACCCAACCATGTGCATTTCAATATTTTAGTATTTTGTCTTTTTTTTTTCTTCAAAAACCAAAGCTCAAGCCAATGTGCATCATCATTCATGGGTTGCACCATGTTAGAGTTTTCAGTTCTGGCTTCACAAGCTTCAGAGTAGTAGACTGTACACCATAAAAGTAAGATTTGGCTAATGGTGCAATGGAAGCTGCTGAGTTACTCTTCCGCTTGTTAATATTATCTTCCTTTCATCATCTTAGTACAATTCCCTTTGGATTTTCCTCTTATCACACCATATAAACCTCCAATGTAGTTAGGTGAGATAAGCAATTACAGGACAAAACTTGAAATAGCACAGATTAGATCATCAGGCAAGAGGGCAATAAGCAGACAAAAGGCCCAAAGCAAACTTGAAATAGCAAAAGGGGCAAGGGACAGAACGGGCACTTCACAAAAAGATATAAGTATCCATTCAAACTTTCGGTAAAGTTGAAGGAGTGATACTACGAAGTCGAAAATTCCTTTCTTTGTTTTGCTTTCACTTTGTTTCCCAGGGCTAAAACTAACCCAAGCTTTGTATTCTTGCTCCATTTGTATCTTTTCCCTTCCTTCTCTTTCCCACTCTAAACCAGGTGCCCTCTCTCTCTCTCTCTCTCTCTCTCTCTCTCTGTGTCTGTGTTTATAAAGGAGTTCAGTTTCATGCTGGGCAGTGTGGTCTGTGATGATCATATTTATGAATATGATTTTTTTTTGTCGTAAATACAATAAAAACGTAGTTTTCTTTTCTGGGTTTCAGTTGTTTTTTTTTAATCTTAGCAAATGCTCTACATTCTTTAAAATTAGCATGATATTGATTATTGAATTGCCTGAAAAACCGTGTAGAGTAGTGAACGCTTTTTAATGATGGTGCAAATGAGAAAGCAAAGCTTATTACACTAACCACACAAACCATTTATAAAATTGTTAACGAAGTTTTGTCCTTTAACAGTTTTGATAACTAAATTTCCTCTGCTGCTCAGTTATCTTTTAGTTTATTTTCATATTGGGTTATTGATTTTGACACAATCTTTAAATTTTGAATATCAGGAATTCATGAGTTTGGAAAGCCAATGACTGCAGTTGAGTTGTTGGGTTTGAGGGTTTTATAGGAAGAAATGATTCTTTCAGCGCTTTTAACTTCTGTTGGGATCAATCTTGGGCTTTGCTTCTTGTTTTTTGCACTATATTCTATTTTGAGGAACCAGCCAGGTAACATCACAGTATATTCGCCTCTTTTGTTTAATGAAAGAAAAGCTCAGCAGCAGGATGAATTCAACTTGGAAAGATTGCTACCATCTCCTGGTTGGGTGAAAAGGGCATGGCAGCCCTCTGAAGATGAATTATTGTCAATAACAGGCTTGGATGCTGTTGTGTTTATGCGCATGTTTATCTTCTGGTAATTCTGAGGTGTTATGATGTGACTTTTTTTGCTAAAATAGCAGTAGCACCTGGAAACAGGTAGTACTATATAGTTATTCATTCCTCTTAGCTGATTTGTAGCTTTGATCTCAGAGATTTTTCCCATTTATCAAGCCATTTTTTTCTGCAAGATAGAATAGGCTACCCTCTCTGAGGTCAGTACTATATAGGTGCGACTCTTTTAGCTGAGTTATGGCTAAGCAAAAAGGTTGTCATAGAATCATAAGTTGTGACTTTCAACTTGGCTGGAGCCTATTTAGTATAAACTCATAGTAATGAGATGACAAAAATCCTTTTGATAGCAAGACTTGTATATGACTTCAGCTAATTAAGCAACTCCATTTAATGGACTGTGGTCTCAACTTTGTTCTGCTTGTTATGGTTATAATTGAGTCATCTGGACTTTGGTTTTTGTGAGTAAATGTGTGATAGACTCGTATCCCAACATGTAGGAGTATCTTTTTTACTTTTATTTCAAATTCAAAATCAATTATTTTTCCTAGAAGGAAAACCTTTCTTGAATGCATTTTCAATTGATTTGCCTGAAAGAATGAACATGATATTTCTGTCACTTATTAAAGCACATCATTTTACTATTATATTCTTCAGAATCCACCTTTCTGCTTATCATCTTCAATTCATCTGGTTTTTTTTTCCTTTTTCCCTTTTTAAATGCAGTGTGAAAGTGTTTACCTTTGCCTGTATCATTGGAATCTTTATTCTTCTGCCAATTAACTTTTTGGGGAACCAGTTAGTAGATGATTTTTCTGATTTGCCAAAGAAATCTCTGGATTCTTTCAGTATTTCAAATGTCGATGATGGTTCAAACAGGTAATTGTAATGTGGTTGGTTAACATACTTTCAATTCTTGATGCTGCAACTCTTGACCAATTATAGTTGCGTGGAAGTTGAAGAAAAAGGTGCAGCTGAGATATGATCAAAACTTTACTTATCTTTTCATTTGTTGTTGATTGTTAAGATTTCTGTCCATAAATTCAGGATTAAGTGTCACGCATGATAATTCACCATCTTTCCAGAATGTTTCCTCCCCGCTGGTTTCTCATTTCAGCTGTTTATTTCATTTATAGAAGAACTTCTTTTGAAAGGCTGTGAATCAGAGTTATTGTTAGATGTCACAAGTTTATACAAAATTTATCATTTCAAAACAGGCATTTAGAATCTTAATGTTGAGGGAACGTTGATTAAAAGTTTTTGCCATTCTCAAGGTTATGGATTCACTTTTGTGCTGCCTATGTTTTCACTGGAGTTGTCTGCTATCTCCTTTATTGTGTAAGTGATATTTTGTGTATGTTCCTCTGCTGATGCCATCAAATTTGTTGATTTATGGGAAAAATTAACATCCACTGAAGCTTTAATTTGGGTGATACTGCAATTTGCAGGAGTATAACTATATTTCATTGAAAAGAATTGCCTACTTCTATTCTTCCAAACGTCAGCCACATCAGTTTACAATATTAGTTCGTGGTATTCCTGCCCCATCTGGGAGCAGCTTCAGTCAAACTGTTGAGAACTTTTTTATCGAGTATCATCCTTCAACTTATCTTTCACACACAGTGGTTCGTCGAACAAGCAAGATTCAAAGTCTTATTGTAAGCATCAGTGTTAATGTTTGATTGACTCAGTCATCCTCTGATGGTTACTGTTTAATTTGGAAATCATAATTGTTTACTTCTTGGATCATGTTAATATACTATGTATGAGTTACTAATCTGAAATTGTATTATATATTGGTTTGAAACCTTTAATTATGAAATTGGACTAGATAAATATTTAAGAAATCAAATTCTTTTATTATTGATCAAGCTAACAAATTTGAAAAACTGAAACCAACTCTGCTGAAAAAATCTGGTCAACCTCAATTCATTTTATTTCATGTAAGTAGTAAATATTAATAAATTTTTAACATTAACTCTTCTGATAAATTAAATATGTACCTATGAAATGTGCTAAGCTATATATGCAATTGAAACTGATTATGAGTGGATTGGTTATTGGAAAGATGGCCCTTAGAAATTTTAGTTACTGTGATACTTTCTAAGGCTCTATGATCAATGTACTATGGGTGGTTTAGGACAAAAAGAATGTTGTCATAGGTATAAGATTGAAACTTTGACTTTTGACACCAAATTTATCCAGCTTTTTCCCTTTCTGTTTTGCTATTCTTTATCAGAGTTTTGACAATTACATGTTATTGCATGTAGAATGATGCAGAAAAGCTATATAGAAAGCTTGGTAATTTAAAAGCAAGCAACTCTCAACAAAGGTTTATGCGTGATGGATTTTTGGGACTCTTTGGACGAAAAGTTGATATTGCAGACCACTATGAGAAGAAGCTGCAAGATATAGAAGACAATGTGAGACTAGAACGATCGTCATTGGCAGGAGAGGTTTGTGATGTTCTTGTGTGTATATGTTGGTCTCTTAACCGAGGAGACACCCGCATCAATGCATACTGAGTTCAAATTATCGAACAAATTATATTGTTGAGCAGTGACAATCTCTGCTGAGTTTGAGAACTGTCTGAGCATATAGACATCTATGATCTGTGTTTATATCCTGATTTAAATACAAAAAATAATATTTGATGCACCTAATCTTCCTTATACCTTTCAAAACTTGCTAGGAAGTTCCTGCAGCTTTTGTGTCATTTAAGTCAAGGTTTGGTTCTGCAATAGCTTTGCACATCCAGCAAGGGATTAATCCCACGGAGTGGGTTACCGAGCGAGCTCCTGAGCCCAAAGATGTTTACTGGCCTTTCTTTTCTGAATCATTTATGAAAAGATGGATCTTCAAGATAGTGGTGGTTGTTGCATATATTGCTCTTACAATTCTATTTCTTATTCCAGTTGTAGTAGTGCAAGGTCTCACTCATCTAGATCAGCTGGAGACTTGGCTCCCCTTTCTAAAAGGCCTACTGAGTTTGTAAGCGCATATTCTTCCTCTTTTGCTTTTCAATTTTCATGCTTATGAAAAAAGGCAGGCCCTTGGTTTTTCAAGTTGTCTTGGCATATAGAAAAACCTTATTTGCGTGTAATTTTAGTGTACTGGATATGGTTCTCAGTATTTTATTAGGATTGATAATGATTGAAAGGTCTGTGGGTCAATTACCATCTCAGAGGTTTAAATTCCAAGGCATGGTTTTTCAATATGTGAAAACTTTGCCCCCTCTTTCCCCCTTTAAGATCAAGCAAGCATAAATTGAAAGAAACGTTAAGAAACATGCTGAAAGACCAAAGTGTGGTTTTCTAATAATGACAGTGACAGTGTAAATTTCAGGGCTAAGCATAAGACAGAGTTATATGATGATGCTTCACAGAAAATTATCAGCAGCCTGTATGCCCAGTAGTATTTGCTTGGGCATGTGCTGTTTGAAGTAAAATTGTTGAGTAATAATGCAAAGTCAACCTTTAAAGGAAATAATGGAATAAGGAGCATCATATTATTATTCAGAATAGAAAGCTGTCTAGAGTGCATTTATGTTTGAAAGGATGAGATCCAATTATTAGATAAAAGATAAATGATTGGATGAGTTACTTGTCATTTTTGGTAATTGGTAGTATTTCCTCTGCTTCTTTATTAGTTATCATTAAATTAGCTATATCCACTTGTTCAGGTGGATTTAAATATAGATATGTTGATTCACAACATAGTACTGAATGTGTGATTCTAATATTGCAGGACTTTCGTTGGTGATTTGGTTACAGGATATCTCCCAAGTCTCATTCTTCACTTGTTCCTATCTGTTGTGCCACCTATTATGATATTCTTCTCGTCTATGCAAGGATATATATCCCACAGTCAAATAGAGAAAAGTGCATGTACAAAGCTGCTATGGTTTACCGTGTGGAACATTTTCTTTGCAAATGTACTATCAGGATCAGCACTTTATCTGGTCAATGTCTTCCTTGAGCCCAAGAAAATTCCCAGCGTGCTAGCTGAAGCTGTTCCAGCACAGGTGAAAACACAAACTCTCTGATAGTGCACAACCTCCACTGAATAATGCCATGGAGTTTCTTTATATTTTTTAAGTCTTTTTTCCTTTAAAGCATTTGATGGTTCAGTCCACAAACATGGTAATCTTCATAATTACTTGCTCCTGGTCAAGAAACAAATGCCTAAGCCTTAATAAATTTTCCATTTCACCACTGCTGACATCAAGGGCCATGATTTGTTGAAAGTTTTATGGGCCTTTCGTCCCTGCCATTTTCATGTTCTCATCCGATTTTTCTTTTCTGCAAGTTTCATGATGAGTTTACAAAGAGATTCCCCTTCCTTTGATCCATTGACCTGGTTGGCAAAAAGAATACCTACAAACTGTAAACTCTGTTGGTCTGCTTTTAAATAGGCAAATCCCCCAGAATCAACAGTCTGAGCTGTGACTTGATGTAAAAATTCTCAACATCTACTGCTTGAATAAATGTTTTTGCTGCCTAGGGAAGTAATATATTAGACATTCGTACTGGAATTTGAATTCCTTAGTTGAACTTCTACAATGCCTGCAATTGGAAGAGGCACCTGGTCTAGATTACTAGTTGAGCAAGTGAAAGATGCAAATAATTTAATTTTGAACTATAAAATTTGAGAGAAATAATTTGCCAGATGGGAGATTTCTCTTGGGTTATATGGCACTGGACAAAACTAAGATGCAAAATGATAATGTTAGATCTTGGGTTTTTGCGATGATGTTTTCTTGTGTTGAGTTGTTTCCTCTCCAAAGAGTGGTTCAACTAGAGGTAACCAATCAATATTGATGTTTGGAAAAGCTTCAAATCTTAGTTCTGGTTTGTTTGCTAGTACCACATCCACAACCAATCTACTGACTTTTATCATCCCCTTTCAATAGCTTGTATTGCAGTGTGAACGTGTTGGGTTGAGATTGCATTTCCATGTTATCATTTAGCCGAGAATGATAAACATGAACATTATTTTTCATTATTTGTCAATTACTTGTATTTATTAACACATACTCCAGTATTAATTCTTTGCTTTTGAATCCAATCATGATATAATGTAAGTTCTTTATATTTGTGTAGGCATCATTCTTCATTGCCTATGTTGTGACGTCTGGATGGACCAGTCTATCTTCAGAACTTTTTCGCCTGTTTCCTCTTCTTTGCAGTTTCATGAAAAGACTATTTGTGGGGAAAGATGATGATGATGATTTTGAGGTTCCTCAAATGCCTTACCACAGTGAAATTCCCAGGGTTCTCTTCTTTGAAATTCTTGGTGTTACTTACTTCTTCCTTGCTCCACTAATTCTGCCATTCCTTTTGGTTTATTATTGCCTAGGATACATCATCTATCGCAACCAGGTGAGTGAAATGCCCTTTAACAGCTTGTATCAGATATAATAGAGCAGAAAACGAGGTTCACTTTGCTAAAGAGTCACAAACCTTTCTAGAAGCCACTATCTGCCTCATTTATCAATATTTCTGATAGGTCTACTTATTCACAATCCATCCTGTATATTGATGAAATTGAATTCAAGTTGCTGACATTTTATGCAGATTAATGTGGTTGACTATAAAGATTGAGATGCATGTACCAAGGCAGTACTAGAATTATATGCTTGAGGTGTCTCCTTTTTCAATTTGGCTTGACATAGAAAATATAGAGGTTACTCTTGCTTCTAAATGCAAAATTCTCGAGGAAAAAACAAAAAAAGAAAGAAAATAGAGAACCAAGTAATTATCCCTCCAAAGAACAATATCATCTTTCTGCATGAAACTTTAGTGGTATCTATTAGTATTAGCGTATGAGCTGTAAGTCAAAAACATATTATCTGGATGGTAATACTTTCTTTACTGGATTGTTCTTGACTAAGGGGCTTCAATAAGCGGGTTTATCCGATGGTAGGCTTTATCATTATGGGTGCTAATGGAATATGATTTGAGGTGTCTAAGATGTTAACCCATTAGGATTGTTGAGTTTCTCTCTCAATAATAGAGCACCTGTTCTAGGTTACTAGGTGATGACTTGGCACTTAACGCATGAAGTGATGTAGGTTCTTGCTTTTAAACTTTTCCAATGTTTCCTACCAACATTCTATCATTGACTTTGGGACACATTATCATTTTCATTTTTTTTCCAGTTCTTGAATGTATATGCACCCAAGTACGAAACTGGTGGGAAGTTTTGGCCAATTGTGCACAATTCAACAATTTTTTCCTTAGTGCTGATGCATATTGTTGCGATTGGAATATTTGGGCTTAAGAAACTTCCTCTAGCATCCAGTTTAACTATCCCTCTTCCAGTTCTCACCCTTATATTCAATGAATACTGCCGAAAGAGATTCCGGCCTATTTTCAAGGCTTATCCTACTGAGGTAAAATCATGAACAAATTTACCCATTCAGTTATCTATTTTCTCCTGAATTTAGAAGTGTTTGTAGTTCTCGGTGATGTTGTTTAACTTGTTCTTCATTTTGTTTTGCATTCTTTAGTAATAAAATGAGTTGTCCCTTATATCTTAATACATACTGGGGAATTGGGCTTCTTAGTAGTTGATTCATTCAGATGTAGATTTAGATGTGTAATCAGTTATTTGGTGCCTATTTGTTAGTCTGTTTATTGTCATAGTAGTAGGCCCAGATGTCTAATGTCTTGGCCTGAATATGCTTTGTTTTGTAGTGTTTGATAAAGAAAGATAGAGAAGACCAGAATGATCCAACCATGACTGAATTTCTTGAAAAATTAGCCACTGCATATCAGGATCCAGCTTTGATGCCAGTCCAATATTCAAGAAGTGCTGATGGGCGCAGCTCTCCCCTTCTTCGTGCTGTTGAAGTTTAAAGTCAGTAATTTTTCTTCTTTGTGGTGTTTAGGTATTAAGTAGGCATGCTAAACTTCAACAATATACAAACTCTTAATAGTTTGTAATGCTAATGAAACAAAATTTCTTCTGTCCATAAACCGAAAAAGATGCCCAGTCTGTATGTTGTAAATTGAATCATGATAACCCAATTAATGAGTGGGAGCATGACAACTTTATTTTTCTGCCCAAGGTGTTCTTCACTTCTGTATCAATATAGTAGTAGAATTTCTCCCCCATTAGCTTCTTTTTGTAGTTTCTGTTGTGGCTACGGCTGCATTAATATATGGCTTATATTCAGCATTGACTTGAGGCTATTTTCATGCTTTATAATTCTTGAATCCTGCATGTGCTAGTGCATCATTTCGATATCAAAGTAGATATCGTCTTGAAGGAGCTGAAGCATTCCAAAGGACTAATTTCATCTGATCCCTTCCAAGGGAGGTAATCAAAGATCATGTGATGATCTGACTAAACCTTGTCCATAGGCATTCGTTTGATTCACACACACTAGGCACTCATATAATAATTTCAGAGATAGTTTTGAGTATAGATAGCATAGGTTGAACACAAACTTTGATATCTGCTAAGACTATGTATCATGCTTACTGAAATTAATCTGAGTGTCTTGAGTTTTCACCACCAATAGATGCCATAAAGGTTTTTGTACTTGTTTTCTTGGATAAACTAAAAGTTGATTATCACACAGAAACGTACAAGCAAGAAAGTCTGCTACAAAAGCAACAGAAGGCAAAGGTCTCACCAAACCAGACAAGAACAAGTTAGTCTGTAAAACCTTGGGTCTTTTTGGAATCAAAAGTTGGCAGCAAACAAAAAGCAGTATCTTGTCCTTCTCTTGAAATGGTCAATAGGAGGCTAACAATTTTGCATTTTATTGCAACTTTGAACGAATTGTTTATAGCTGCAAATCCCTTCTTGATGACTTCTATAATGAATAGATCAACTGATTCTTGGGTCATACCTTTAATTGAGACATTTTCAGCAACTTATGTCTTTAAGTTATTATTTCTTGCTTAATAAGTAACATTTTTATCACCAAAACAAGAAATAAGAAAATGGATTAGAGAATGTGGGTTCTTTTGTTAAGCTCTAAATTTCTTGCTTCATTTGATATATTCTCTAAATTTTGAAGTGGAAACCATGTTTTAAATTACACAATAAGAAGGAGGATCAAATGGCTTAAAGTTGTAGGCCTGTTTTAATATTCTTTTAGGCCTTGACCATGAAGAATATTTTGATCTTCATATTTGAGGAGACAATAGATTTTCTGTTGGCCCTCCACGTGGAGGCACAACCATGGTCATTGACAGTTTCATGCTCTCCTAGTTTAATCAACTCTTAATTTTTTTCTTAATGATAATTATGAAGCATCATAAATAATACACATGGCAGCATGAGCTAGTTTGCACAAAGGTCAATCCCAAAATTTTGTACTCTTAAGGGATATTACTAACATTTATAGTTATTTATTTGGTAGATTATTTTAGGGTATAAATAAATTTATAAAGTGATAAAAAGAAAAACAAAAGGTCTCATTGGTGGTTAACTTCAATGATATAAAAAACCAACATAAAAGACACAAAAAGGAAAACTTTGTCTCATTAGGGAACTTTAATAATCTCAAATTTCTTGGTTATAGCAGTACAATATTCCCATACATTCTTTTATCAGATGTTGGTCAACTGCATATTAAACATTAATTAATTTTGGATTGATTCTCAATTTACATTTAAAATTTCAAACCCTTTTAATTGAAATTCAATGCTTATTTAGCTTTGTAATTATAATTAACCTTCTGATACGTTTTTAACCATATAAGTTGATCATTATTCAATGAATAGTTCTAGTATCTAATAGGATATTCTAATCTTAAGACTATTATTCTACCATACTATAAACCATTTTGTCATAACCATATTGATATTTTCTACTCTTTCTAAGAACAAATAAACCAGTTTTCAGCTTGATTCATAGCAAATAACCCTTTACAATGCTTCACAGTGAGCACTCATTTGGAACTATTCCAAAATGTCATTTTCTCTACTTAAAGAATTGAATAATCAAAACCCCATCAAAAATATTGAAATCAGTAAACAAGATTAGTCAATCATTTAATCAAAAAGATTTAAGGGGAAAAAAAACTTAGTAGTAAAGATTGTATAATTAAGTAATGTTAATGTCATCAGCATTAGTGGCTAGAAGACTGGAACAAGCATATTGGCAGTGGAACTTTGTAAGAATCGTTTTGTTTGACTCATATCAGCAATGACAAGAGCAAAGGGATCATTGGCTTACTTGCTTTGTACTAGGGGTTATTTACCCAAGGTAATTTCCTTGACCTCTTGCGGCCCTGAAAGTGACATTGCAGGCTTCCTTTCACACTATGAATGGAATAACATTTGCCAATATCACACTTCTGTCAAGTTTGTGGGGTAATTATTCCATGGAAAAATGAGTGCTTTTCTTGTTATTTAGATAGCATGTGAAGACAGAAGAATGTAGAAGTACCATTTGGATATGTTGAAGTTCCAGGACCAAACATTCATATCAGCAATCTCTTGTCTGATAAAAGTTGTCCATGTTTAAAGATCAAATGTTCTAAGCCATTGAGAGAGTGGCTAGTATGAAAGGGAAGAAGTCACAAGTATCAGTTGCAGATAAAAGGAAAATGGGACAGCAGATTCAAACATTGTGGAGGTGCCAAATGCACCCCAAATAACAATTCAATGATTAGAGAAATGTAGATTTTCATTTGATTTTAATGAAATCCGGAAACTGCTGGTTATGTACTGTAGTAGCCAATACTTCTCGGCTTGCAAGTGAATATAATGGTTTTTCTTCCATTGTTGGATATCATTTTCACTGGTTTTAAAATGCGTCTAGTTTTCCAAGGCATACAAATAAAAAGGGTACAATAAGTCTCTTTCAAGGCAGTGATGAATTCGATGTTCCACTGTTAAAGCTATTAAATTATTTGCAGTATGCACTTGTCTAAGAAATTCAACAAAGGTCCATAACAAGTGATGACTCATTCAAGCTTATATTTTGATATTAAAAATTGATAAATATTGTTTAAAATTAAGTGTTTAGAACTTACCAAATGGAAGCAAAGATTCTCTTTGACTTGGTCAGGACAAAATTACTTGAAATGCATCAATCATCTAATCAATTCAATATATATATATATATATATATTTTCTTCCATGATCATCATGCAGAGAGCGAGGAACATCCATGTGTTTTGATATGGAGCCGAAATTGAAAAAGAACAAAAAGGTATGAACAAGCATTTGACCTTTTCAAATCTCTCTCTTCTCATTTGACAGGATCTTCACTCTTTCCATATAAATGCTGACCAACAGACAGAACCAAAGCAGCATATCATCTGCCATAACTGAAATAGAAAGAAAACTCACTTGATATACCAAAAAAGGAAGAATTATGGCTAGGAAAAGAAAGGCTGGTCCAGTGGTGGAACAGAAAGATGTAACTAGTGAGCAAACAATGGCTTGGGATGAAATGGTGAAGGAAGCTGCAGCAGCAGCTGCACTGGGAGGACCTAGGAGAGCTAGGAAGCGATTTGTTGGTGTCCGACAAAGGCCATCAGGCAGATGGGTAGCCGAGATTAAAGACACCATACAGAAGATAAGGGTGTGGCTAGGCACTTTCGATACTGCAGAGGAAGCAGCCAGGGCCTATGATGAGGCTGCTTGCTTGCTTCGCGGAGCCAATACAAGAACTAACTTCTGGCCTTGTTCTCCATCATCTAATTCAACCCCAGCTCTGTCTTCAAAGATTACTAATCTCCTTCTCCAAAGGCTTAAAGCAAGGAAAAATCCCTCTGCTCCTTTGCCTTCTTCTCCACCTATCAACCAGCAACCGATGCAGCAAGCAGAGAAGTATAGAGAAGATACAACAGATTTCTTGGATAGTCAGTTTCCTGATTTCCTTAATGATCCTGAAGATTGTTACATGTCAAATGATAACATCAATAATACAACTGCAAATGCTGCTGGCTACTTGACAACAAGTCTTGAATCATGTTTAACTGAGAATGAAGATTCTTCAAGAAGAGTATTGTATTCCGGTTGCACTTTCAGCGATGCGGCTCAATCTTCCAGGTTTGCTGGTGATGATGTGGGAGAGGAAAGAGATGAAGATGGAGAAGAAGGCCATGATATGGGGGCACTGGATTTCCAGTTTGTGGATGATATTGGAGCATCTTGTTACTACTCACCTTTTCAGATTGCTGAAGAGATTGAGGTACCAATGGAGCCAGAGAGCCTTGGGGATGAGCCTTCGATTATTAGTGCTGCCATGAAGAGAATGACATACGAACGCAAATTCTCAGCTTCTCTCTATGCTTTTAATGGGATATCAGAGTTGCTGAGGCTAAAGCTTGGTTCAGAAAATGTCATGGGGAGAGCAACATCTGAACAATTAACAAAACTTGAAAATGCATGTAAGAAGAACAAAGGAGAGAGGACTCTGAAAGAAGATGATACAGAAATGATGGGAACAGAACAGGCAAAAAGCCCACAAACTTCAGTGGAATCTGCAGGTTCAAATATGGCGTTTTCATCTCCAAGTTCAGTGGAAATGGGGGCTTCTTCAGCAGGAAATGATGGTGAATCTCTTTGGAGCTCACTTGACCTTCCACCCATCTGCTTTGTCAACTAACACATATAGGATCTTCAGCTCATAACTTAGATATTCATTCTATTTCATGCAATGCTGATCTTCAAGCGTGAGCAACATTTTGCATGTAGTGATTTCTGCTTCCTTTTTCTCATATATGAGCAACCATGAAAATTGAAGAATTTAGAGTTAAAATGTACTTTTCACACGAAGTATAATTAAGGCCTGGACAAGGGAAATCTTGATCCCAAGCTTCCATAAAAACATATCTTGATTACCTGCTATTTTCTCCCAGAAATAAATCTTCTGCGTTGTCCCGATTCATTATGAGCTATGATCAAGGTTTGCCCCAGAAATGGTTACCTCCAAATGGTGGAGTTAAAAAACCAAAACCAAAGTTGGATTCTGTTCAAGTTTCATGATAAAATTCGCTTATTATATCACAGACAAAGTACCATCGTCTGGCTGCTCGTAGAATTACTTCCTAGTTGCATTCTGTAGCTAACACAATTTCTCATACTTTCAGTTGAATGCTCAGTTGCTGAGTTTTTCACAGATAAATCCTTCACATTTATACAATGAAGGACAAATGATTAGCTACTAAATGCTGAAACTACTCCATTAACAGTGGAGTGGGGAGAGACACAACACATGTCCCACCCCATCAGAATTTTTTACTTATGTAAACATTAATGCATAATTTTCGAGACCCAAAGAAACACCCATCCAAAAGACCAAAAGGTTAATTCTATCATATGATAATTTATAAAAATTTCCCTTTGGTTCCATAATATTGTGGAAACCCTAGTTATGATTAAGGGCAAACTGTGTCACAAACTTGGACTAACACAGTAATTGGCCAACCCTAGCGTTGAGGACTGACTCCACAATCACCCATCTAAAATGGAGGGTTACAAGAAAAAAGTGAAGGTTTAGTCAAACTAAAAAAAACAAAAAGAAAAAGTGTTATATACATCAAATGTTCTTATTCACATGCATCATAGGAGATTCATGGACAAGGGTCCTTGGAAATACAGCCTTCTCATGCTAGAGGACCCGGAGCTGCGCAAGAAATGCAGCACAAAGATCCAAGAAGAGAAACTGAGGCCCGTTAACCCTCTGAAGATCCAACAGATACTTCTCCTCACGAGTTTTGTAAAGCTGTAAACAATCATAGCAGTGAAAACATATTAGCACTTTTATCAGAGGCAACAAGAAACTCCTAGCATCAGCTGCAAACACCCAATTTTCTCGTAAAATTCCATTTACTATCAGAGTTATCAGTTAGACAGTACCTGCACTTCAAACTTGACAACATTT